AGCACAGACACAAAATTGTTTTACTTGCACAGACAAGATTTGTTACTTTCGCACAGAACACATATTGTTACTCACCTAAAGTCTCAGAATTGTTTCTCAGGGAAACAGAATTCATTACTCAGGGTCAGAAATGAATTGGGTAGTGATAATTTGTTACGAGTTAATATTGGGGTAGTGACTTGTTGGGTTAAATTATGTATATTTTTGAATGTAGGATGAATTTTAGGGGTATAGATCTGTACAATATTTTTATTACTATGGCTAAAGTGGACTTACAATAAAAGTAATTGTTTCGCAGCATAATATTATGACGTAGAAGTATTTTTGAGGTATTAATAGTTGTGTGTAACTTAATTAAGATATTCGTAAGCTAGTAAATAATGAGTACTCAAGACTAATATTGGGTAATACCAGTGAAATGATATGTGTGCTTAAAGACTTATTTGTGTTCTGTTGTCCTTTTTTGGTTTTAGATTGATCAATATTTGTTTAATAATGACAAGAAATGTCGATGTTTCTAACTTACGCACAGAAACTACTTACTTAGACACAGATGTAATTAGATGTCTTAATTGTTATGGCTGAAAGTGACGTGGTGTATAATATTAATTGGGTATTGATTTTGTTGGGGGTAGAATAATATTTTGCCCGGTTACGAATGTTACTGAGAATTGAATAAGTACGACTGATGTTGTCCTCTATGATGCCATAAATTGTGTGCCCCTGTAAACCAAATGTATCTGTATTTCAAAATTGGTACGACTTAAATAGTAGAAGTATTAATATGCGAGGGCTTCGCCAAATGACTCAGAATTTTATAAATGAATATGATTTTGACGATGAAAGGGCTGATCATAGAATATTTATTTGGGGTAGATGAAAGTCTGGGACCCATATTAATATTGCAGTCCTCATTGAATTTTGGGTCACCTAATATATTGGGTAGCGATATATATTTGTGTATACGCCGGTCATTATATACAGGTAGATGTCAATTATTATTACAAGTTAATATGCATGTTTATGTTGAACTTTTGTTTCAGAAATCATTGGTTAGGAGCATGAATTGTAACTCAACTATGTCTGGCTGATGGTAGTAGTGTCCAAGAATTTTTATACGTAACGCGCACAGAACACAAAATCGTTACGTGCATCAGGCTAATATTGTTACTTCGCATGCTACATCATATGGTTACTCGCACAGACACATTTGGCTTACTCCAGACACAGAATTCATTCTCAGGCTTCCAAAATTGATGTCTGATGAATATTTTAAGACAAGGTCACGCTAATTCGTTTAGTGTTATAGTTTTATTATTCTGGATTTCTTTGATTTTTTGACACAGACCACGGCTATTTTGTAACGACACTTTTGCTCACAAAACTGCATGCCCAAGTGTCGACCACGGCCTTCTCACACCTAAGTCCCTGCCTTGTGGTAGACTCATATGCAACGCACGAAATTCAAATAATAATCAGAGAGATCGTTAATAAACAAAATCCTTAGTTCAGGACAAACATACCACGGTGTTATGGCAACTGTCATCCTCAATCTCCCGCTGTCCTTGACGTGAAGGATAATTCATTGAGCAACAGGCTGGATCAAACCGTATGTTACAGTTATGCTAAACAGAGAGGTAAGAACGAGACATCGCCTGTTCAGCACCATGTACGAACATACAAGCAGATGCTCGTACCTCTAGAGACATCTTCTCCTCGCCAACCACACTATTATACAACCCTGGCTTGTATAGATTAACCACTTGCTCCTCGTCTCAACACAATTTCTTTTTCTTCCTGGCATCATCAAAAAGATGGCACTTTGGCACGACATCTCCATCGTGGACCCAGTACACTCAGCGATGAAGTCAGTTCCTACTCCACAGTATCACCACGACCACCTCAATCAGCCTAGCTCAGTATTCCGTGCCACGAGCAAGTTCATCCACATCCATCTGCTTGACGGCTAATGTCGCTATCGTGGGGTGTGCCATTTTTTCCACAAGCCGCCTCGAGGAAGTATACGTAAACTTTGTCTCCTCTACTGTAATCAACTGGCTCAGGCCCATTACTCAACAGTCGTTCTCACATAGCACTCCAAACTTTAGCCTAAAACAGTGATAACATACCGGTTCTGCCTGCACGCCACCCCACCGACGGTGCACCAGCTGCCTACGTACTCTCCTGTCACCCCACGTCTGCTGGTACCCCTGCTATTCACCAGTCAGCTTTCCATCACATACGGCTGTACTTGGCACCTACATAGCGAGATTAATGAATGGCTTGAACGTACCATATTCGACTCGGTATATTGAATGCTAAATGCTGTAGATTCATTCAAATGCCCAAAATTTTTTGCAGTGCCAGCCCTGGCATTCATCATGTAGAAGAGATGTTGCTAGAGGGCCAGAAATGTTGAGCACCTTTCCGTCGCTTTGCCCGTCTTTTCTGCCCAAAGTACTGAATTCTAACGGCAAATGGCGCCGACTCGCCATGTGAGTAGCTGTAACTACGGTCAGGACCAGTTACATGTCATTTACGAGCCCACTGGGTGAATCCGAGGTATCGTTTCGCCGGCCACAGCCGCACCACAACTTGGACAGGTCTCACGACGCTGTTTGAGCCTCCACGTTTGCCACGTACCTTGGTGCCAGCATCCATGTCCCGCCTCTAACCTACCAGTTCGTTGGTCCCTTTCTTCCGCCGTGGGCCTCAGCGCCACCACCCCCCGTGCCCAGTGCAAGTCACCCATTACCCCGACCCGGCATATCAAATGTGCAGCAGGGCGCAACGTTCACCTTCTGCACCTGTATATGCCTTGGCGAACGTAGTCACCAGGGAGGAACTCTGAGTGTAATGAAACAGAGAAATCGACAGAATGGCTGTCTCCGCGCAAACTAAATATCGGAACCATGTTGGGACTCTGACATCAACGAAAGAACATTGTCTGCTCTGCGTCAATGGAAAGGGTTGTGGCCATGACGCCAATGCATGGCACACTCGTGGTCAATCGGGTTGTCAAGCAAGAAGCGGTTCCTAAAATCCACCATCCCCACTGCAATGACATCCTTACTCACATGGTCACATAAACTGTGCATTGCATTGTCAGTCATTCCTACACGCACTAAGAACACCCTCATTGAGCTGCACAGCAGCGAACAATGACCTCAATCTGCGATCCTATCTGCGACGGTTGCAACAATGGTGGAAATCAACCCGTCTAAACACAGTGTACGGACCCCTTTACGACAGCCAAAGGCCATAACATCACCGTATTTGCCTGATGTTACAAGAAGCGGATAAAGGTACTTTTTATCCCCTGTGTACTTGCGTATGTCAGCCGGCATTGGCAGCTCATGCGTGACACCCTCCGCTTGCTCAGCCCTTTGAGTAGCCAACGCTATTCGTCGACTCGGCAGGACTATAATTGGGAGAACGACGTCCCCCCCCCATTCAGTCTGTTGCACGTCCTGTGAACAAATGGCAGTTAACAATAGCTGCTATTGGTCAGTGGTGCGGTAGGACCGTGGCGCACAGATCTCAACGCCACATGAACCCCCTGTGAGGGCAGGACAGGAAAGAAGAGGAGGAGGTTAGAGGAGGACAGTTATGCTCAGGAATTATTTGAGTCTGAAATGGTGGTTTTTCCTACTCAGCGTCACAGGAGTGGAGCGAGGAGCATAGAAGCATCTGGTAGAGAGAGGAGAGGAGAATGAGGACCCACGCACTCCGTGGCAAAAGTGCAGTATGATGCTCTAGGCAGATGACGTTCAGGAGTTCTCGCATTCCTTGCACAAATGGTCCCACTAAAGTCATTGCTCGGTTGCTTGCGTAGCTACGCGACAGCCGAAATAATAACCTATCAGACATGGAGATGACTTTTTTGGCAGTCCACCTTGTTGGATCCCTCGCTAACCACCTTGGTCCATAAATGTGGCCTTTTTCATCAGCCTCTGAGAGGGAGCCAAAAAATACACTGTACTATAAAAACCACCTATGTAGTCAGTTGTCTCTGCCTTTGTGCGCCAACGTTCCATCCTCAGGACACTGTGGGGGCCCTGTGGCGCTCGCGTTCCGCGGCCATAGCAAGCAGGAGGGGTGGTGTGTAGAGAAGCAGGCAGCTTCCACCAGAAGCGGCTTGCCTCAGTCTGCAGTCGAGGTGATGATGTAACTTCTCGTTCACCAGCGCAGAGAAAACTACTAACCCGCCGCAGCTACAGCAGCACAGCTCAGCAATCAGGACCCTGGAGCAGGAGCTCCATACAACAGGCTTTGGCCTACTTGACAGCACCCTGCCAACCGAGGTAGACAATCCCCTTGACTACTACTGTTGGCAACGAAACTTGAACCTATTGCCCCAACTAGCGTAGCTGAATTTGCCCTTGAAAGGCTGTCATGCCCCCAGCTAGCGTGGCATCGGAGCGCGGTTTAGTGGTGCAAGGCAGGAGGTATTGTAACTCCGCGAGACACGACTGTCCACCCAAAAGTGTGGAGAGACTCACTTTTGGTGAAAATGAATCAGCGTTGATTAGTCTGGAGTTTCAAACCACCAGTTTCCTGACACAACTGGACTAAATCCGCCATGAATCATGCCTCAAACAGTGCCACTTTCAGGTCTCCTCACACTGCTAGGTGTGTTTTTTAATTTTTTGATACATAGGGTGCTGCAGATTACGGGGCCTCCTAGAGCTGAGCTGCCAGGACCCTAATCTGCCATAGGACCCCTATATACCACCCCTACCTGCCTCCTCATGCTGCTGCTGCAGGTACCAGAGTCTCTGGGGCCCTATGATATACGGCCTCTCCATTGCTGCGGTCGCCCAGCCACACTCTCTGCCATTGCCACTCCGTTCCTGAGGTCTCGCTCACACGGCTTGGTGTGTTTGATAATGTTTTGACATAGGTGCTAGGTCTGATTACGGCCCTCCAACATACGCTGCGCCAGCGCCCCTAATTCGGCCATGGGCCCACTATAATATATAATACCTACCCTCCTCCGCGTCTTGCTGTCTGCCAGGTCCAGAGTCCTCGACATGGGGTCCCTGTAACGCCGCCTCTCATTGCTGCTGTCTCCAGCGCGCACACACTCTGCCATGTGCCCACTTTCAGGTCTCTCCTTCACACACTGGCTGGTGTGTAATTTTTGCTATGGACATAGGGTGCTGCAAGATTACTGGCCTCACATAGCTGCTGCCAGGCCCCTAATCTGCCATGGGCCCCTATATTACCCCGCCTCCTCATGCTGCTGCCAAGTCCAGAGATCTCTCATGGGTCCCTGTACGGCCTCACCCATTGCCTGCTGTCTTCCATCCGCCACACTCTGCTGCCATGTGCCACTTTCAGGTCTCAGTTCACACTGCTGGTGTGTTTTTGTGTTTAATTTTTTGACATAAGGGTGCAGGCAGATTACGGGCCTCACTTAGCTGCTGCCAGGCCCCTAATCTGCCATGGGCCCCTATATACCCCGCCCCTCCTCATGCTGCTGCCAAGCCACAGTCCAGAGTCTCTCATGGGTTCCCTGTTATTACGCTGGGCCTTCCCAATTGCTGCTGTCTCCATCGCCACACTCTGCTGCTGCCATGTGCCACTTTCAGGTGCCACTTTCAGGTCTCTTCACACTGCTGGTGTGTTAAATTTTTTGACATAGGGTGCAGGCAGATTACGGGCCTCACATAGCTTGCTGCCAGGACCCCTAATCTGCCATGGGCCCCATATATACCCGCCTTCCTCATGCTGCTGCCAAGTCTAGAGTCTGTCATGGGGTCCCTGGTTTACGGTCCTCCCATTGCTGCTGTCTCCATCGCCACACTCTGCCATGTGCCACTTTCAGGTCTCTTCACACTGCTGGTTGTGTGTTTAATTTTTGACATAGGGTGCAGGCAGATTACGGGCCTCACATTGCTGCTGCCAGGCCCCTAATCTGCCATGGGCCCCTATATACCGCCTCCTCATGCTGCTGCCAAGTCCAGAGTCTCTCATGGGTCCCTGTACGCCTCCCATTGCTGCTGTCTCCATCGCCACACTCTGCTGCCATGTGGCCACTTTAGGGTCTCTTCACACTGCTGGTGTGTTTAATTTTTTGACATAGGGTGCAGGCAGATTACGGGCCTCACATTAGCTGCTGCCAGGCCCTAATCTGCCATGGGCCCACTATATATTTCCGCCTCCTCATGCTGCTGCCAAGTCTAGAGTCTCTCTCATGGGTCCCTGTACGGCCTCCCATTGCTGCTGTCGTCTCCATCGCCACACTCTGCTGTGCCATGTGCCACTTTCAGGTCTATTCACACTGCTGGGTGTGTTTAATTTTTTTTTGACATAGGGTGCAGGCAGATTACGGGGCCCTCACATAGCTGCTGCCAGGCCCCTAATCTGCCATGGGCCCCTATATACCGCCTCCTCATGCTTGCTGCCAGAGTCCAGAGTCCTCTCTCATGGGTCCCTGTACGGCCTCCCATTGCTGCTGTCTCCATCGCCACACTCTGCCTGCCATGTGCCACTTTCAGGGTCTCTTCACACTGTCAGGTGTGTTTAATTTTTTGACATAGGGTGCAGGCAAGATTACGGGCCTCACATAGCTGCTGCCAGGCGCCCTAATCTGCCATGGGCCCCTAACATACCGCCTCCTCATGCTGCTGCCAAGTCCAGAGTCTCTCATGGGTCCCTGTACGGCCTCCCATTGCTGCATGCTGTCTCCATCGCCACACTCTCTGCCATGTGCCACTTTCAGGTCTCTTCACACTGCTGGTGTGTTTAATTTTTTGACATAGGGTGCTGCAAGATAACGGGCCTCACATAGCTGCTGCCAGGCCCCTAATCTGCCATGGCCCCTATTATACCGCCTCTCCTCATATGCTGCTGCCAAGTCCAGAGTCTCTCATGGGTCCCTGTAACGGCCTCCAGATTTGCTGCTGTCTCCATCGCCACAACTGCTGCCATGTGCCACTTTCAGGTCTCTTCACACTGCTGGTGTGTTAAATTTTTTGACATAGGGTGCAGGCAAGATTACGGGCCGAACACATAGCTGCTGCCAGGCCCCTAATCTGCCATGGGCCCCTATATACCCAACCGCCAGATCCACCGCCTCCTCATGCTGCTGCCAAGTCTAGAGTCTGTCATTTGGGTGTCCCTGTACGGCCTCCCATTGCTGCTGTCTCCATCGCCACACTCTGCCATGTGCCACTTTCAGGTCTCTTCACACTGCTGGTGTGTTTAATTTTTTGACATAGGGTGCAGGCAGATTACTGCGGGCCTCACATAGCTGCTGCCAGGCCCCAATCTGCCATGGGCCCCTTATATAACCGCCTCCTCATGCTGCTGCCAAGTCCAGAGTCTCTCATGGGTCCCTGTACGGCCTCCCATTGCTGCTGTCTCTCCATCGCCACACTCTGCTGGCCATGTGCCACTTCATGTCTCCTTCACACTGCTGCTGTGTGTTTAAATTTTTGACATAGGGTGCAGGCAGATTACGGGCCTCACATAGCTGCTGCCAGGCCCCTAATCTTCCATGGGCCCCTATATACCCGCCTCCTCATGCTGCTGCCAAGTCCTAGAGTCTCTCATGGGTCCCTGTACGGCCTCCCATTGCTGCTGTCTCCATCGCCACACTCTGCTGCCATGTGCCACTTTCAGGTCTCTTCACCTGCTGGTGGTGTGTTTAATCTTTTTGACATGAAAGGGTGCATGGCAGATTACGGGCCTCACATAGCTGCTGCCAGGCCCCTAATCTGCCATGGGCCCCTATATATACCGCCTCCTCATGGGCTGCTGCCAATCTAGAGTCTCTCATGGGTCCCTGTAAGGCCTCCCATTGCTGCTGTCTCCATCGCCACAGACTCTGCTGCCATGTGCCACTTTCAGGTCAGCCTTCACACTGCTGGTGTGTTTCATTTTTTGACATAGGGTGCAGGCAGATTACGGGCCTCACATAGCTGCTGCCAGGCCCCCTAATCTGCCATGGGCCCCTATATACCGCCCTCCTCATGCTGTGCCAAGTCCCAGAGTCCCTCTCATGGGTCCCTGTACGGCCTCCCATTGCTGGGCTGCTGTCTCCATCGCCACACTGTCTGCTGCCATGTGCCACTTTCAGGTCTCTTCACACGGCTGTGGTGTGTTAAATTTTTTGACCATAGGGTGCTGGCAGATTACGGGCTCCCATTGCTGCTGCCAGACATGTAATCTGCCATGGGCCCCCGATACCGACTCCTCATGCTGTGACGTATGCAACAAGGTGTAATTCAAACCCTACCTATGTTAGACCGCCTTTACGAACAGCTAAAAGTGCCATCCACAGATTTCCTGATGTTAACAGGGATAAAGGTACTCCCTGTTGTATACTTAAGATGGTCAGCCATTGTCAGCTCATGTGTGACTACCTGCGCTTGCTCAGGCCCTTTGAGGAGGCCACGCTATTCGTGAGTCGGCGAGGACTATGGGATGAATGAGGTCAAATCGGCCATGGGCCCCGTACCGCCTGTTCACGCTTGATGCTGGTCCACAGTGTGACCTGGGTCCCTGTACGGGCCTCCCATTTGCTTCCACTCTGCCATGTACCTCTTTGAAATCTCCTCACACTCCTGCGGCTTGTCCATTTTTGTCATAGGTTGCTGGCAGATTAGCGGCCTTCCATAGGTGCCGCAGGGCCCCATATCGACCATGGGCCCCCGTACCTCCTGGTCACGCTGCTGCTGAGCCCACAGTGTGACCTGGGTCCCTGTACGGCCTCCCATTGCTTCCACTCTTGCCATGTGCCACTTTGAAATCTCCTCACACTCCTGCTCGGTTGTCCATTTTGTCATAGGTTGCTGGCAGATTACAGGCCTTCCATAGGTGCCACCAAGCCCCATATCGGCCATGGGCCCCCGTACCGCCTGGTCACGCTCGCTGCTGCTGGGCCACACAGTGTGACCTGGGTCCCTGTACCGCCTTCCTCCCATTGCTCCCACTCTGCCATGTGCCACTTTCAGGTCTCCTCACGCTCCTGCTGGTTTCCATTTTGTCATAGGTTGCTGTATGGCCTCCCATTGCTGCTGCCTCCACCGCCACACTGTGGCTCCAAACACTGGTTTTGGCCCCGTGACTGGCCAAAGGAGTGAAGTGTGCAGTGATTCTAAGATCGACGGCACTCATCTGCATGTCATACTGACAGACAGTATTATTTCTCTTCCCCAGCAGACTCCAAGGGCATTTAAATTAAAGGTACAGTGTTCTGCACTAATATTAAGTCTCTCTGAAGCCTAGAAACACCCTTTTTTTAAGTTAAATTCACAGCGAATTTATTCGACTCGAATCGAATATTGTCCACGAATTCGCCGAATCAGTCGAATCGAATTTTTCATTTCTTCGCTCATCTCTAATAACTACTTTTGCTTAGTTTCAGAAATAATCTTTTTAAGGTTAAAAAGTTGTATCACGTGATCATGCATCTTCTTCTGATAGTGGGGGCCAGGGTTTCAAGACACTTTGAGAACACACAGTATGTATGTATTCATTCCATAGTCTTTTCAGCTGAGAGAAGGCATAGACTGTGTTTAAGCAGTGGGCATGCTCAAGAGGCAGGCTGTGTGATTGCGAAGGGGGGTGTTCCAGAGGCAGGCTGTGATTGGTTGGGGGATATGGTGAATAAACAAACTACCCAATACAGGCATGCTGTATGTCTGCACAGTGTCCTGTCCCTCAGAATGGTCAGCCAAGGGATGAAAACTCACCACACTAACACAGATCAGCTTCTGTGCTTTGTGTGGCCAGTTTAGAACAAGGGAGAAAGGTGACTGGCAGGATCAACCAGGTACTTCAGATGGAAGAAGTACATGAAAATATATAGATACTATGATTTATAAAATATATACAAATATAAAAATAAAAAATATTTAGAGTAACATACACTGATATATACATAAGTATGTACTTACAATTAAAATTGTCTGATTTTCTGGTTAGCTGAGAAATTACAATCTGAATTTGTTTAATGCTGGTATTTGGATTTCTCTCTGCAAAGCATTTTAGTTCTTCTCTCCAATTATTTTAGCTGCAACATCAGGGGGAAAAGCCAAAGCAATGCCAGTACTTATAGCAGACATAGCCATGGATTTAAAATTTTTAGAATTGCATTTTTCAAGTAGGTCACAAATCCCCTTTTTCAGGTCTGAAAAATATATATACATATACAGGTTTTATTTATACACAAACAATTGCAAGAAAAAGCTTACAAATCCATTAAAGTTTTCTCCAGAAATAATAGCTCTTAAACTAGGTATAATCTTTATCTAATTAAGAGAGTCTCATTTAACATTTACTTTATGTTTTATTTATTTTTTTTAAAGCTTAACTCCTTCCTGGTTCTTATTTTTATTTAGTTTTTTATTTAAGGCAATGCTCCTCATCACATATATCAAAACAAGGCTTGCTTTCCTCTCCACTAGTAAATGGTTTGTATATGTTAGCACACATACTGTATGCCCATGGCTGAAGTCTGTACCTAGAGATATAGAGAAATGTCTACATTTGATTTTAAATGTGTTTTCATTTTTCCCAGTTAAGGGCCAGTTCAAACCAGAACACAGTGCAGGAAAGGCAAGTTCTGTGTACATTTCCCTCACTGAGTTCAAATGCACTACCTTTGTGATCTGCTGAGGGTGGCAATACAT